GGAATGTTCCAATGCTTTGGCTCAAGGTTCCCCTTAGAGGCTGAAAGGATTATGGAGGTATTTTGCCTTGCCATAAATTCTGGACATTCTGTCAATGCTGAGCTGAGCTACGAGTTACAACATTCAGAGTGAAAAGGTGCGTTTGCGCAGTTGGTTTGCTGGTTGTCATTGTACCACCCAGTCGACCTTTTACAAGAAGTAAACTCGCCACCTTGTACAGTTTAGGTTAGGAGCCAATGCTTCTATGCTGGCTGCCGTTGGTGAGCCGCGCCGCGTTCGAGAAAGAACTGCTTGATCGTGCCTGGCAGCACTTTGGTAAAGCATCGTGTTCGCGGACCCTGCCTGCGGACAATTCCATCTTGTTCTTTACGCTGCTAGGTTATGAAAGGATTTCAGCACGCCACCATGATGAAATCCAATCCAATCAGGGTCCCAAACCTGTCTTGCAGGCTTCCCGAGGTTCGAGCTGGTTTCAATTAATCCCTATAAGACCCCAGATTCCATGCCCTTTGCATTTGATTCTCCATTATGGTACCTTACAGCAATCCAGTACTGTGTTTGGCCAGACCTACAGGCAGAACCGGGGAGGTTCTATATTTCTTTGTGAAACAGACCACATGCCCAGTGTCTTGTAAGAACCGCACTGAACGAAATGTTCATTGCTATTTAGCCTGGGCACATCGAAAGTGTTCTTGCTCAAGGTCTGGGTACATGAAAGGAGGCAGCTTCAGCCGCGTCTTTGATGTAGGCTTCCATTCGCTTATGGGTTCAAAACACTATAAGAAAGTTTCGATGTAGCATGCGCTTTGTCACCGCCGACTGCCCGCGCGAACATGCTTTGGAGAGAAAAGCCACATTAAGACACCGGCTTTAAGATTGGCATTCCCAAAGAGCCAAAATCACATAGGAACGACGTAAATTCAAAATTTGTCGCGTTACCCGGAATTGACATGCAGAGCTGACATGCAGAGCCATGTTCGGCAGGTGCAAGCATTTGTCCTCCAATGGGGTGTATGTGTTTTTGCGAACTACAGACCGCAGCAAATCTTTGGCGGTGGGCACTTTTGCGCCATATTGGATGACTTTGATCTGAAATGCTGGGGCCCAAACACTGGCGGCAAGCTTGGTATCGGAGTTTCGGACGCAGAGTTCGCTGGATGGTATGTTGGCGATGAGGCGAATGAAATCGGAGATCACTTGCCTCTGGTTGTCTTAGGCACCGCTCGATCTGCCAGACATGTTTCATCAGGCGAAAAGGGGATGTGCGTTGTACTGGACAACCACGAGGTCAAATGCTTCGGCTACCGGGATTCCGGTGTAAGTTACACTGGCAATGACAGAATCGGCATTGACCCATCTGATTTCAACTATCATCCGACTTATGATTTGGGTACGGGCCGCACGGTACTGCAAACCGCCAAAATGCTGGACAGCACCTGCGCTCTCCTGGACAATAGCGCGGTGAAGTGTTGGGGCCAGGGCTCTTGGGGCGAATTGGGGTATGGAGATCTATCCGCCAGGCATGCTGCATCAGCTTTGGGCGACAATTTGCCAGAGGTTGACTTAGGTACCAGCCGCACGGCTAAGAAAATTGTTGCAGGAGAAAATCACGCCTGTGCGATTCTGGATGATGACACCTTGAAGTGCTGGGGTCGCAACTACTACGGCACGTTAGGCATAGACAGCTTCCTGGACACTGGAGTGGGAGATGCTGCTGACGAGATGGGTGACTTTTTGCCTGTCGTTGGCCTTGGCGCCGCCGTTATTGATGTGGCCGCTGGATTCCAGATGACCTGTGCCATATTGGTGGATGGCAATGTCAAGTGCTGGGGGCCAAACATGTTTTCAAATCTCGGATATGGGGATACCCATGATCGGGGGACAGCTGAGTACCCGGTGGCGAGCCTGCCAGCGCTTGATCTGGGTACAGGGAAAGCGGCCCAACAAATTGCTGTTATTTATGATGCAGGTGCCTGTGCGCTGCTTAATGATACTTCGGTGAAGTGTTGGGGACGCAGTGATGTCCTCCTGGGCTACGGGGATACGGAAGCACGAAGTGGCGCACTGGGGGACAGCCTGCCGACAATTGACCTCGGAACAGGAAAAACAGTTCAGCAATTGGTTGCAGCTCGCTTTAGCTTCTGCGCACTTCTTACAGATGGCGCCAGTGGTCAGAGTGAGATCAAGTGCTGGGGTCCTGAAGGAATGATGCTGGGCTATGGAGATGCAGTGCCGAGAGGCGGCGGACCAGAAGAAATGGGAAAGAACTTGCCATCTATTCAACTTGGTGCCATTCAGGCGACCCTGCTTCTCGGCAGCTCAGATGTCCTTGATAAAGCTGCCTGCTTGAAGTTGTGAATTCGTCTCATGCACTTGCAGAATCAGGCGCATTCCTAGCAGTTGGACAAGTTGAATGCATGACCATGGCTGTTTTTCAAGGACACCTACTTCAAGCACAACTTCCAGCATGACATCCCCGGGCACATCATCGTCATCAACCACATCGACTTCAACTGACAAAAGCACCACAGCCACCGCTGCCCCTACAACGACTTCGACTACAACTGAGACCGTCAGCAGCACATCTTTCTCGGCCACAAGCAGTAGCGTTTCAACAACTGGCTCCACTGCCACCAGCGCCTCAGTGTCCAGCAGCACGGCCAGCAGCTCTTTCACCCGCACCACTTCAGCGACCAGCACCTGGAGCATCACTTCGGGGAGCACTAGCAGCACTAGCAGCACTTGGACGAAGAGCAGGACCAGCAGCCTCACCAGTACAACCAGCACCCGTAGCAGCTCCACCAGCGCTTCGACCAGCACTAGCAGCTCCATGAGTTCCATCACGACGGCAAGGCGGACTCCCCGAACTTCAAGCAGCTTCACCATCACCACAACTAGCTCACGATCCAGCTCAAGCAGCCCTTCGGTGCTTTAGCGCTTCTAGGAGCCTTGTGATTCCACACCTTGCCAGACGCTAGCCCAAGGTCAGACCAGCACAACTTGGACCGAAAAGATGGCAGAGCTGCAGCGAAAGCAGGAGGCCGGATGCTGTGCTCTTACTGCAGTGCCGAGCACAGCTACAATCAAATCACACACAGAGGTTCCGGCGCTTTCACAAGTATAGCACACAACCCCCAAAACCGAAGTACGCAGCTCGAAATGTTGAAGAAGCGTTCGGCCCACGATTCTTGGTTGTGCGGTACTAACTCCTGCAGCCCAGGAATCCTTGAGTTGGGGAATGTCCACACAAACGGGATCCTTTTCTCCATCTTCTGGCCTTGTGTCTCTTTGAGCTTCTGCGCAGAATCGACTGGCTTTGAAGCTCTTTGAGCAGTGTCCCCTGCAAGACCCCCCAAGATGTTCAGTACCCGCCTCCTATCCCCTGTACTGAATGACCAGAAACGTCATCTATGAGACCCTCGTTCAGCATGTGTGTGGCACGAAATGGTGTGGGGGTCAGAAGCCGATGGTGCAGACAACCTGGGCGGGGCGCGACGCCGGCGATGCCGGCGATGGATGAGGGACAGAGAGCTTTTGTGGCCTTCATTGCCCTCAGTAATTGCCAGCCAATAGAGACGGTAAATTGAAGCTGCAGAAGGCTGTAGATGTGAACCAGGGTCGAGTTGCTCGGGACAACTTGAAGAGGCTGCGCAAGCCGCTGCTGCAGTGGATGCAGCGGAAGAGGACTCGCATCTCTGTACCCAAGGTCTTGTGCTATAACATCCCAAGCAGACACCGAAACTTTCAATTAGCCCGCTGTAATTGGATTTAAGTTTTGTTTGCTTCCTGACCTTGGCTCCTCCAACGCCTCAGACCTTGCCTGGGATGTGGCCATGACATTGATGACAACATGAGATTACAAGACTTCCCGCATCATTATGTGATGCACACCCCTTTAGCCTGAAGACAGAGCCCAAACAGGCAGAAATCCCATTCAGCTGAGTAGTATGTTTAGGTTTCGACGCTCTATCCCCAACAGAGGGTACATTGGCATCATCTTTGACTCAACAGGAAACACAGTTCATGTGAAGCATGAACCAGGCGCGCACGCTGCAGCTCTTGTCAGCCCTCGACGTCACAGTCAACGCCTCGGAAACAGGTTGGTGTGGCCCCTTTTGGGTTGGCTTGCTTTACGGCTCTTTGAATTCAGTTTCTGCAGCACCTATTGGCATTTGGCTGGTGATGCAGGTGGCGTGCTAGGCGAACTCTCCGTGGAGACTCCCACGGGGTCCCTCAAGGTCGTGGCATTGTCACCGGAGGCGGTGCTTGCCGCAGGCTCCGTTGACATCCCTGCCGGTCCAGCCAAAGTACAGTTGCCTGCGGACGTGCTCATGCAGGCGGCCGAGCTTGCTGCGCAGTCAGGAGCCGGGCAACGTGTTAAAACAAAAACACAAGGGGCTTCCACTGAACACTTCGACAGAAAGCAAGGTTGTCACTTGCCCAACCTTCCAGGCATCTCCGGGCCCATCCTGCTGAGCCTCACCAGCATCTCAGAAGCCACGGCCAGCAAGCTCTCGGATGCGCGTGTGGAGGGTGAGGTTACAGCACAGCTGCAGTCGCAACCTCTGAGCCTGAACCTGCGTGGAAGTGACGGTGCCGCGCTGAAACTGAGCCGGCTGAGAAAGGCGATAGAACTGGTGCTCTCTGTCAGAGACGATCAAAACGTTTCCTGTGCCTACTGGGACGAAGCAACGAGCCGTTGGTCCCTCCAAGGACTCACAGAGGTCTTGGAGACCAAAACAGTCATCCTTTGCAAAGTGGCTTTTGATCTTTATTCGCTGAAATGGAGAATGCTGTAGCCTGCAGGTGCGAAAGAACGAAGCACCGGGCCGCATCACCTGCCGCGCCATGCACCTGACCGTCTTCGGCGGTGTGGTGCAAAGCATTTGGCAAAACACGCTGCTGGTTTTCCAGTGCAGCTCAGTCGGGCGGCTTCTCACTTCGAAGGGCTTCAAGAATCTGGTTGAAAAAGGCTTGGCTTTCCGAAAGTGTAAGGCAACCCAATTCCAAAGTCCGCTTTGACAGGATGGCAGAAATCCCTACCTGCTGCCGTCATGTTTGCCTTCATTGGCGCATTCATCCTGCTCTTTGCCCGTGCCTCCCGCATGGATTGGAGAAGTCAGCAGGCAGGGCAGAAACAAAAACAATCATTTCTGGAGCTGATTTAACCAACTGTCTGGAGTCTAGAGGCTTCAACATGCCGCCGCAAGTCCTGCGCAATCTGGAGCTCGCCTTGAACTTTAAAAGATACCCGGAAAAAAAGTAGGCGTTGCAGGGCGCAAAGCGAAACAGACATGAAGGCAGTTCTTGTGAACTTTGCGGTTTAGCAGCAGTAGAAACCCCTAAAACAAGGACCTAAATATTCACCGATGTCCTAAGCTCCAGAGACGGGGTTGCCAGTACAGTAAGCTGCTTGTTGAACAATGTAGGCAGAACTTCAGAAAAGTTGGTCCCTTTTCCTGCAATGTAACAACCAGCATGGCCTGGAGGCCGTCCCGTGGAAGAAGATCGAACCATTGCTGCTCCGGACCAAGGAGGCTCAGACCCGATCAAGCCACGGAACATCTAAAGGAGGGTTTAGGGTTGGGTTTTGGCATCCCATCCTGAAGAACCTTCAGAGAGGACCAAACGATGAAGAATCCCATCCAGGATTCCCACATGTGCTTCCACATTGTTCAAGGTTGAAGGGCCTTCACATGCGTGTTACTGGGAAAAATATGAATGTGAACAAACCAACAATTCCCCGAAGGAGGTGCAGCTGTCGCCTGCTGAGGTGCGCCGATGTTCAGGGGCAGATGACAGGGACATGGGGGTGGATGTAGCCTGCGCGCTTCTGTGCATTATATCCGGAGATGTGTAGTCCTTTGCGGGATAACACGAAAGGCGGCCCAGCTCAAATCTGGGTCTTCCGTTTGCCACTTCAGAAAAACATCATGATTCTGTGTGGTCGGACAGATCTGATCCCTGGAAGACTGGCCATTCAATTGACATGTCACACACACACAACCTTCGTCATAGGCTGGGAATGCTGACGACGCGGGTCAGGCTTCTGATAATTTTCCCATGCAAAGCTGGCGGAGCTGTCTGGCCACATTCGAGTTCAACATGAGAAACTGCAGCTGTAGGGGTGCTTGTAGCGCAGGGCCGGGGACGTGGCTGCGGCCGCTGCTACGGCAGATGCTGCGGCGCATGCGACTGCATGAGGGAATGGGGAGTTTGGTGCGTCCGCATGCGATTTGGCGTGGACATTGTGGCGCTGGCCAGCGACCTGGTGCACCTGCCAGAGGGCAGCGTGAATCGCTGCATCAAGTCTGTGCAGGCCCACCGCTGTGGTGTAGCTGAGGACACCTTAAAGATGCTGATCAAGCCTGATGAGAAGTATTCGCTGCAGGACACAGCCAGCGGCCTTGAGTCATGTCTTGCAGCATGGGGTCCGGCAGCAGTTCTCTTTTAAAATGCATAGGATGAAGATACAGGCGTATCTCCAAGCCTGCATTGGTTGTTTGAAGCTGCCGGTACTCCTTGGATTCGCCCAAAAACACCCAACTTTCAGGGCTTTGCTGGGTCAGGTAGCCGCTGTGTAGCTTGTGGCAGGAGGATCAGCAGGATGCTGATGCTGAACCCGAGCAACCTGGTCGTGACAGCCACCGCGAGAGCCGCGAAAGCCTCGATTCCGATGCCCTCATGCTGGCCATGGGCACAGACTTTGCACATCGCAATCTGAAAAGAAAATGGAATCTGGCCGAGCACGGCTCCTTCGCAGTGCAGTCAATTCTTGTCCGGCGCTGGTACACACGGGTCGCGATGCTTTTTCCTGTCTTCCACCCATGGACTGTGCTTGTGCGGATGAGTCTTCTGACGCCCAGAAAAGTCCGTGTCTCTCTGATCTTTCTCAAGTTTGTCACAGCAGCTGCCACAAATGCCCTGTTTTTTGCAAGCAACTCCCCGTTGCCGGACTCTGATCCCCGATGCTTCGAGCCCGAAAACCTCTTTGCAGCGCTTGTGCAGACAGCTGTGGTGGGTATCAGCTCCGCCCTTTTGGGAGACTTCATGGTATTCATCCTCTTCCGCATTCAGGCTCTGAGGCCAGTGAGGAAGATAGCATGGACCTCATCTCTGCGAGCTCGGCAACGAATGAAGTGGCGCTTCCGACTTTGGTTATTTTGGTTTCTCTGGTTGCCTTACACGAGCCTTGGACTTCTCGGAAACTGGCTTGAGGCAAGGTTCAGAAACAGTCCCTGCAGCCAAGGATCTTCTGCATTTTGTACGTGGCATTGTTTCTGGCAAACGTCCGACTTGTCGATGCGCATGATTGGTTCGCATGCACTGGGGTGAGTCTCTTGCAGGCAGGGCCTTTCAAGGGATGGTGTTTGGATTCTTTCGAGGGCAGGGACCCGTATACCCCATATTCTATACCCGATAAAAACTCAATATAGTAATTTCCATTTTATTTTCCATTATCCCTATATAGCCCAGTAATATAGTGATATCACTTTTGCTTTTCTGCAGACATGTTGTGCGCTTTGCAAGGACATTGTGCTGCTGCCTGCCGGCTGTGCTTTGGTGCTGGGTACGCTTGCTTCCTTGGCGCTGGCCAGCACACGGATTCGCAAAAAAGTGGAGACTCGATGGGTTCAGAAGGAGTCTCATGTTGAATAGCCACATCCTCTGGCGCAAGGCATGCAAGTGTGCGCAAATCCAGCATTTCCGATATCTGTGAATCCACAAGGCCAAAGCTATCTTGCCACATGAGCTTTAGTCTAAACTCCTTAAACGGGGGTTTCATAGGGGACTATGATAGGGGTTATTAAGGGGGATACTAGGAGTTTAGACAATGGATCGCATTGTTTTAAGCGTTTATGTGAGGCGAAGTCAACCGGGAACCAATCTGTTGGGGAGCTTCGAAGCCGCAGGGACCAAGAATTACACCAATAATGGAGAATCAAATGGAAAAGAACATGGAAAATGAACCAATGAAACAGAAATTGCGATTATATGGGGGATAATAGAGGTTATAGTCTAAAGCTCATTAAGTACATCCCAAATGTTCTAGCATTGAAGCCCAAACGTTCCGAACCAAATCTGCTCTAGTCTAAAGCGAGACCGCCGAGGCACAGGTTGTCGTACAGGCAATGCTCAAATTTCATAAGCTGCGCCCCCCATGGCCCTAAACCCTAAAGGCCCTAAACCCTAAACCTCGAACTTTAAAACAAGAGCCCCCAACCTGCACATTCTGCGCTCTGGGAGGGGTAGGGAGAGGGTTAACTTACTCTCCTAGTCTCCGGACCTGGATCCAAACGCGCCAGGCCTCCGGCCTCGGCGGATTTTTATTTGAAATTTGAATACAGCATGTCAGAGCAGTTTCGATCTAGTGCCGAGGAAGACATGTGGGTTTTGACTCAGTGCCAATCCCAGTGGAGGACCAGCAACACACGGCTTCTATCGAGGCGAGGGAGGTCCAGGGAGCCAAGCGGCTGAGAGGTTCTGAGGGGTTTTCTTTTCGGTGCTTTTGTTAAGGGTGGTGGGGGGTTTCTATTGGGGGTGGGTTGGGTCCCAGGGGTTTGGGAGTTCGTTGTGGGCCAAGCCTGGTCGGGGCCTGGTCACTGACAAAAGGAACGCAAAAGGAACACCAAACAGAGCTACCCCTGCTCCTTCTTGGATTGACACTTGACGGCCGCCTTCTCGAGGAGATTGTCACTGCTGGCCGTTCAGGAACGCTTATGCGATTAAGAGTATATATCTTGGAAAACCCTTGGAATGCTTAAC